AAAGATAGACCAGCTTCCATACTACAGGCGCTACGTTGATGACATTTTGGCTTTCTGTCCATCTGAGCAGTATATGGCCCGACTGGTTGAGCGCTTCAACAGTTCACATGCCAACTTGAGCGTCACTTGCGAGCTAGGACGAAAAAATTCTTGGATCTTCTCATTAGTTGCAGATATAACGAACAGATTAGGAGATCCGTCTACCGAAAGGCAACATGGTCCGGTCAGTATCTGCATTTCACAAGCTTTACACCAATGCGGTACAAGCGGACACTTGTGAAGACCTTATTTAGTTGTGTTAGACGACTGTGTTCAGCAGACTGTCTAACTGATGAGTTGGAGCGAATTACAGTCACACTGATGTCACACGGCTACCCACAAAGTTTTACGGGGAAGCACAACCAGCCACGAAGACCAAAGGACTTGGTACAGGAGCAGCGAAGAAGAAAGTTTGTACTGTATTACCTTTCAAGGGTGATATCGCCAGGTTAAGGATCAGTAAGCGCCTGATCGCTGCTGCGCATGGGACCTACTATGCTGCTCAGGTCGTCATCATCAACAGAAGCAGCAAGTTGCCAGTACCTCATCCGAAGGAAACTCTGCCAATCGGCGTCAGTTCTCATTGTGTATACCAATTTACATGTAACTGAGGAGCCAGTTACATTGGCAGGACCGATAGAGCATTGTCTTCCCGGATGAAGGAACACGTACCGAAGTGGATCCTGCGTGGGATAAACGAACAGCCTTTTCCTACCCAAGCCCTGTCGTTGCGTAAGCCGCTGGCATCCTCCATAGGTAAACACCTATTGATTACTGGTCACCAGATCCGGCTCGATATCGCGTTCAAAATTTTGCTGCGGCACTCTATTCCGCGATTTCTTCCTTTCCCTGAGGCTATAGCGATTAGCCGAATGCGGCCTATGCTGTGCGTGCATAAACAGCTATTCGTCAGTCTCAAGCTTCCGTGGACATAAAGACCGAATCGTTTTCGCCCATCTTGATCCCCAAGTTTGTTTCTTCTTTTTTGGTCACATCCACCATTTGCTATTGTTTCTCATCAGTTGTTGTTAATGGTACTGAAGAGACGACAAGAAATGCTTCCATCTACTAAAGGTCGTATCCTTGCTGTACTTTTCAATAGCTGAAGGGAATTAATTGCTTTCAGCGTCGAAAGAAGTTTGTTCTTTAGACAATCACTGCCACGGCGTTTTTTCGTAGTAAAGCGTACAGGGATACGGAGGTGGTGACCAAATCATGTAGGAAGCGACTATATTGTGTTACCATACCAAGAAAGGATTGCAACTCACTGATGTTGTGCTCTCAGAGAGTGAAGGATGGGCTGGATTTTTTCCTTTAGCGGGTGCAAACCGCGTTTACCGAAACGAAATACTAGGTACAGAACATTGTCGGTATAAAATACACGTTTGGATTCCTTCAGCTTGAGTCCATAGTCTTGGAGACTTTTGAAAATCGACATGTGTCATGTGTTCGCGATCAGGGAGACCAGAAATTAGAATGTCATCCGAATAAGCACATACACCGGGTATTCCTTTCACTAAGTTGTAATGATTCCCTAAAGTATTGCTGGCGCCGAATGTATTCCGAATGGCAGTCTGTTGTAGTGGAACAGAACCATGTGTGTATTGATGGTTGTTTTCTTCTTGGGAGATTTATGCAGCTCTAATTGAAAGTAAGATTGGCTTAAATCAAGTTTGGAAAACTTCTGGCCACCTAACAGACTTACGCATATATCAAATAAAGCTCTCCGAGAATCAAAAATGAAGACTTCGCTGCGATCAGAATCTATTTGATATAGGAAAATTATGAATAGGATAAACTACGCTCCTTTGAGCGATTTTGATTCTCTTCTCTTCCTCGATTGGCCGCCGCTGGCGGGAACAGCATATTTATAGATCGAACCAATTGGTTTTGCGGGCTTAGGAGGCGATTCTAGCCTACCCGTGTGGGCGTTGTTGCTCGACTGGCGGCGATCGATCAGCTTTCATACAATCAGCCCAAATTCGTTCAGCTCGCCCGTTCCATAGGCAACCAGTATGATTGAAGTTACAACTTACTACTACAGTATAGATCAACAATCCGCGGAATAGGGTAGTGTTCTGATATCCGCGCTTGATTAATATTCAGCTTATAGGCATCACAGATATGGACGATGTCATCAAGATTTGTACTGGAACGACTGGCGTGGCCCAAGATGAGTGGTATACAGACGGAAATATTCCATCTCTTGTAGACACTCCAGCTCTAACTCTGCTTTTGAACGGATAACAAAAAATAAGCTAGTTACTTTGGACAATTTCGGTTATAAGTTCGGTCTGATATTAAAAGAAGCCTTGAAACCACGCAGTTTACCCGGTAACGTTTCAGCAAACACACAAGCGTGCATTCTCAACTATAAAAAATGTCTGGAATACGATCCACTTCTTTGACGGTTTGAAGTAGTTCCGGCATATGTTTGAGCCAGTTGCTAACAAGAAAATTCGGGCCATCAGTGTTAAGAACGTGTCAGCCCCACGAATAACCCTTACTTCACACATCCCCAGTACATCGAGTGGTTCACCCGGGTAAGAACGTAAAGCAGACTGGGTCGGAACCAGCGGCAGATTGGGCAGTGTATGATTGGTTAGCAACGTGACGGAGTCCCCCGAATCGATTTCTAGGCGTACAGGTTGGTCTTCAATCACCAATTACAGTGTATGGAGGTTCTCCGAGTATATGCGATGTGGTATTATGTGAAGTCACCGGAATTCTCTACTGTCCGGAGAGTATTTGGCGGAGAGTAAGCTAAATGACATGGAAGCACTGTTGAGCTGCAAACACGCACAAGATACACGACCTTGCCGCAACTGTGGCAAGTGGACTGTTTGGGCATATAAAAAATTCATCTTTCATATTTTTCATCACACCTGTAGCATATAAAGGAGCATTTAATATTCAGTGAGAATCGAGGTTTAACCGCGTGGATTACATCTGAGGAATGATCGCGTCAGTAGCGAATAAATTGCTGAACCATAATTTCTCCATGTCTCATCAAGGTGCATGCGACTTCCCAAGTAATCGTGCTTTCGTGTTCCGAGAATAGGCGTTCTTTGGCCTTGTTGTCACGAATGCCAACCAACAGACACTGAACAGCCATGACCACTACAAATTTCGTGGAAAGAATCTCATTACAATGGCAATCAGGAAGGGAGCGTTGTATGTGGATTATAAATTCGTTAACATTCTCTTCCTTTTACCGTGATTGAAGAATGTTAGTCGTGCGCTGTGCACATGTTGTTGCAGTTCCCAAAAAGCATCCAGAGGTTTCAGACAGTCTGACTGGAAAGTGTCTCAATACAACTGTTGTGCATCGAAATACTTTTGACCCTCTGCGGCTAGGTGTTACCTCAACAATTTGAGGCTAATGCTAAGTAACAGTGAGATGATGATTTGTGATTAGGTAAAGATAGTCACAGAATGTTCTCTTCCACCTAACCCAAACATGAATGAATGGCTTGGAAGCCGCTTCTTTCTAAAACCGAGCAGGTGGAATAATGTGACGAATAAATCCAAGTATAGACTCCGTCGCCAATATTAGTCTACACGTGCGGAACTAAAGCAGGTCTACAAACACAGTAATGGCCCGTAACCGAACGAACAAGCTGAGTTGGTAACACGCAAAGTGTATTCTGGCAAGAACGTATACGACGCATCGATCAAGTAGCTAAGACAAAACGGGTGGGTAATCGAGTGATAGACATACGCGCACACATGTAGGGACAGTCATTGCTGGGTATGAACATCTGAATGGAGATAGTGACTCATACGCCACAAATACAAACAATAAAGAAAATACTGTAGTGGAAAAAGATCAAGGATGAACGCCTTCGCCTTCATCAGTGCATCGGTAACCCGTTTAGTGAATTATTCAAGCAGATTGACCTCGTTTCACTTCAAAGCAAAAAGGGTACTCGTTCTATTCGTGTAATCAACCAATCTCATCATTTCACATCTCCTATAAACACGCCGTGCACTGTGGTGTCGTCACTTTGTATATAACGCTGACTTAATTGACGGTGCCCGTTTCCAGATTTACCTCTCACTGAGATTGTGAACAGCTACAGGATGCTTGCGCCTACTGAGGGACCATGGGTAGCTTGCGTCGCACTCAAGACGAAGCCACATGGCCGGTGTTACTGAAGAGATCAAAAGCACGGACATTGCATACTGAAGACACTAAACGATTGCCCATCGTTGACTACCAGTGCTTGCGAAGTACTGCTTACACTTGCTGAGGTCCGCCCAGTTGGTCTTTGACAAGATATCCTCTGGTGCCTCACTGAAGTGTCCACTAGACCTGAACCACTTATGTTAACTAGGCCATGTTCTAAAGTTGACCGCCTTCCTCGGTGTGCATTACTTGCTGTCGCTTTACCGACTTGGGCGAAACAGCGGGATGGCCGAAAGATGACGTGGAATACAGGAATGGAAAAGGCTGGCAGGGTTGCTTCAACAGACCAGTATGAGATGTCTTCGTGGATGGGAGCCTCGGGATGGTCAACATCAGTGGTCGGAGGCGCTATCTGACGTCGCTAATTCGCGATCTTGATGGTGCCGCTCACTTATCTTTAAGCCGCGTGGTGTTCTGCCTTATTTTTGAAACATTGTTACCTATTACTAGACTAGTATCTGGAATTGTGGTAACTGGATTCACAGTAGCTTGGTGCTCGGATCACAGTTTTCCCAATGAGCTGCACTGGACTGTGTCCCGATCATTCGCATGCCAAGCGCTAGATGTGACGAAGGGCGTTTCGGCAAAATATGAGACAAGAAAGAATACACCGAGCAATAAGAAGCGCATCCACGCAAAACGTATGTCAAAAAGTAAAATAAAATGGGACAACTGCTAACATGATGAAAGTAAGGAACAACGCAAGCATAAGCTGGGTAGTGACAAACATATCACATAAAGAGTGGAGGCAGGTACATTAAATTAAACCAACTTTTCCATCACTTTCGCGATGTACGGAAGCTGCATTTCTACCGAATGTTCTTGTTCATCATTTTCAATAGATAATCTCACGAATTCGCCACTTTGGTATAGTTCTCGATAGACTAACTGTGTCAAGCGTTGAACAAATCATCAGCTTACTCTCCAAATCGATATTAAGGGAATAGAAAGGTGTTTTGTACGATTCTGCCACTGAAAGAGCGCAATTACGGCCCAAAGGAAGATAGTGTGATGGTCCCAAAATGAACACTCGTTTTCTGGATGTGAATTACAGTGGGGAACAAAGCAGAAATTCACATACACTTGATCCGGATCGATTTGGTTATATGCGAATCCGGCACATTGCCCGGAGTATTCATAACCAGCATGCCTAAACCAGGTAGAAGTGAGTACATGCAAAGTTACGGAGAGATGATGGCGCGTGAATGACGCCGATCGCTCGTCGCCTTGGACAACCACTCAGAAAGCTGGCTATCGAGTTTCTGAACTATGGGAAAATAAAAATCCATTGGGTAAAGTAATTTACCATCCCTAGAATACCAACTGCCAGCGTGAGAGTCTTTTCTTGTAATCATAAGCCACCGAGTTGGAACCTGTTTTGTAATCAGGTGAGCAGCATATCCCAATTGTCAGTTAGCAATCAAATTCCTGAGGAATAAATTAAAGAAAATGTTTAGATGAAGAGGAGGATGTAAAATGAAGCAGTGGAGACTACCCAACGTGATCAATAGGACAATACAAAGGCGAAAGCAGTAGTACCAGGATGTATGCAAAGCTTATGGACTTATGGTCAAAAATCGGACAGTACTTTCACAGTACAGTTCAGCCTGCTATGGCAACCACCACTGTCCAAGGCGACCAATTTTATCGGTCAGTTGAGTGGTCATCTTAGATATATTTGACTATGCGACAAGATAGCAATGCATGAAAATGATCAGCAATACCGTTCAGTTCGATAGGAAGACCATTAGGGATGGGAGTCCAGCACATACTAGTGACATGTGTCATGTGCATGGCTGGAAAGAAAGTGCACTGAAAATAAAGCGATATCAGAGTGATAAACGCACCATATGACCAACGGACACGATGCGAAGTATGGTGAATACTGTTCCGAAATTAGGAAACAAAAGCTAAGCAAAAAAAGAGCGTATAGTGGACTGTTAGGTAAAAGGTTCGAGTCCCATAGTAAAATACAATCTTAGCCAAAAAAAACTAAGTTGCAGAACGAGTAGGTACACTTGCCTTATAATCTCTCCTTCAATTATCGTCTGTTAGATGCAGACTAGCGATGCGAACTATACATCCGACTGTTCGAAAGACGTGACAAAACACAAGCACAGGCAGCAGCAAACGAAACCAGCACGACGCGAGCGCGTTAAAATGGTTTATTCGAAATTCGTGAATGGTACAAAACGGTCGATAACGGAAATGATGAAAAGAAAGGAGATAATGTAGTCACAACTACTATAAAACTCTCCCTTAGAGCGTGCGCCGGCCAGCAACGCTCGATATAGCATTTATGGAATATATTGAGCTGGTTTTTAGTGGAAGGAGACGACACAACCTGAATGTGCGTGTATAGCATAGTTCGATGGGGGGCCCAGAGCTTCCGAGGTTTGGGAATCAATCAGGCGTTTGTCAGTGGGCAACAGTCTAGGAACAGGAGTGTTGTGAGTGCTTGAAATTGATTATGAACTATCTACCACTGGCTTGACGTATGCGGACTTAAGACGATCAATGCTTACGGACTCATTGGATCCACACTTTGCCAGAACGAAGTACTTCGGTTTCCGCAACAAGACCATGAATGGTCCTTCATAAAGTGACGCCAAGGGTCTTCGGACAGCATCGAAGCGGAGAAAGACGAATGGATAACTGTGCAAATACGGAAGAATTCGCTGCTCGCACGTGCTTAACCGAGGAGGTATCAGTCTGATGGATCTGAAGTGCTGCTTCAGACGCTCGGCACAAGACGTAGGATTCAATTCCCAGGTGACTCGTGAGTCAAGTATCATCTAGTCTGAGGATTGTGTCAAAAACAAGTTTGGCTAGGCAGCATCCGATATGCTCCTTGACGGTATTGCGAATACCAAGAAAAATAGCTGGAAGGCATTCAGACCAACGGGCATCAAGCGAACTAGCTCTAATGGCGGCTTTCAGTTGTCGATGAAGTCGTTCGACAAGACCATTGGCAGCAGGATGGCAGGTCATCGTGTGGAAGTTAGTCAACCAGGTAACCGACTCAAGTCACGAAAAAGAATGGGATTAAACTGGGATCCTTGTCAGTAGTGACAGTGACTAGCATACCGAACAATGAAATCCATGAATGAACGAAAGCACGAGCAACAGATTCAGTGGAAATATCTCGTGAAGGAATCGTATGTGAGAAAAGGAGTCAAACTATCAACACAAGACAACAGATAATTGGAACTGTTCTAAGTGAGTAACGGTCCTACTGCATCAAATTGAATGTGTTTCAATCGTCCCTAAGGGAGTGGAAAAGTACCAGGAGTCGTAATATTGTGTTCATGAACCCTGCTGCTTTGACAACTAAGACACATTTTGGCTCACTGTCGGATGTTTGTGCGCACAATGGGTCAGATGTAACGGTCGGTACTTAGTTTCACGGTGGATCGAATACTGGGGTGCGATAATCATGAACATGGTCAAAAACCACTCGCCGGTAGTACAGTGGAACAAGATCTGGGTTTACTGGTGGAAATATCGCAGTATATTCTCGCATCAGAATTTAGCACGGGCAACTGCAAAATTTTAACGTAGCGTTCGATCAAAGCTGTGTTAGTTGTGGATCACTGGCTTGGGCAGCAAAAGGTATTACAAGATCAATGGGTGAGTGTGAAAATTGAGGGATATGGGTACGGGTTAGTGCATCAGCGACAAGGTTATTGGAAGCATCAATATAGCGAATATCAACGCAAAATTGGGAAAGATAATCCAGGTGTCGAGTCTCTCTAGGGGATCATCGATCAGAAACTGAACGAACAGCATACATAAAGGGCTGCGTCGCAACGAGATTGGATCTTAACGTGATGCGACGGTTTGCGTACCTCATTGACCCACTGAGCTATATTGGGTGATGCCTCCGGGCACCTTGAGATCTACTCCTACCAGGTTGGTCAATGGTGAGAGGTCAGACAAACTCAGTCTCCTGGTCCTCCAGGTTGGGGGTTTGAAATGGGTTGGCGCCCATTTCTGTAAAACTAAATCATTGCCACCTTCCCGCTACCTTGCGGACAGGCTTTTTAGCCAAATGCTTTGGATGAGCACCCTAATCGTCCTCCTGTCTAGGTCTGGGCGCCCTGACATTATCTCAGCCCACATACAACCACGACATTTTCTTCAAACATAAACTTCATCCTGCATCGGCCGTCGCGCAGATTATCAAGGGTCGCCTTATCTGCTGCATACAGCAGGGCGGATAAGCGAAAACATGCTACTGCTGGCGCCTCCCTTCTTTCTTTTCCACCTTTTTCTCTTACTCCCATCCCGGCCCCCATTACTAACCTTCCTTCTATAATTCCCAGCTTAATTGACAGCAACCGAAGTGCTACTGGAGTAGAACCATCTGCAGCCACCATCCCACAGCACCTATCGGCAAAAGTTCCTTATAAGGCCACGCTGTCCCGTTTCCATGGCGACATTCAACGTCCGCACTCTAAGACGAACAGGTCAGCAGGCTGCACTCGCACGCACCTTGGACACACTGGGTGTTGATGTGTGTTGTGTGTCCGAAACTAGGACTAATGACCCTAACGGGGTTATTGAATTGACTGCACCCGGCTTATCCTCTCGTTATTGGTTGCACGCATCCGGAGACGCCGATGCGGCACTCACCGGTCAAGCTGGTGTAGGTATCATTCTCAGTTCCAAGGCTGAGTCATCGTTGGTTGATTGGATGCCGGTGAACAGCCGTTTATGTGCAGCACGTTTGACGACACCACCTAAGGTGGATTCACGAAGTAGTACAAGACGCTGTTTGTTTGTGATTTCCACTTATGCTCCCACCGACTGCAGCTCTAATGCTGTCAAGAACACACTCGATCACGAACTGAACACGCTGCTACGCAGTGCTACTAGTTCAGATATTATAGTACTTGCAGGGGATAGGAACGCACAAGTAAGGCGTCTGAGCTCTTCAGAAGCTCAGCTGGGTGGTAAGTATGGACTGAACGCCGAACGGACTGACAACGGCGAGCGTCTGCTGCAACTGTGTGCGGAGCACCAGTTGTTTCCTACTAGCACTGTTTTTAGACACTGTGGGCGCCGAAGTGCCACTTGGTGTCCACCTGTAGCTGGTCAACGATGGACCCAAATTGACCACATAGCCATAAGTTACAGGTGGCGCGGTTCCATTCTGGATTGCCGCTCGTACTGGAGTACCTGTGTCGACTCTGACCATGCCTTGTTGCGCTGTCGTTTCTTCATGAACTTTACCGGAAGGCGCACAAAGCGGCTCCCCCGATTGGCAACGGAGAAATTGTCCCAGCCCTCTGTCAGGCAAGCCTATCAAGAAGCACTGCATAGCGAACTCTCGCTGTCTTGTCCTAATGATACTGAACTTCAGTGGAATAGGATCTCGGCCACTATGCACGACGCAGGAGCATCTGCTTGTGGAACTATCAGTCGTCATCGCACCAGTCACTGGATATCCGAGAGGTCCGTGAAACTTTTGGAAGCTAGAAGGCACCTCCCGGCTGGTTCTGAACACAATGTGACCAGACGGTCTATTAGCCGTGAAATAAAGCGGAGTCTACGTGCTGACAAGGAAGCCTGGTTGACCAGCCGGCCTCAAGAAATGGAGGAGGCAGGAGCAGTAGGCAATTACCGGAAGCTCTTCCAGCTAATACGCACCACTGGTCCGAGAAAACCAGGCGTCAGTGAGACAATCAGGGACAGCGCGGGTGCGCGGATACACAATAAGGAACGCCGTATGGCTCGTTGGGCTGAGCACTTTGAACATCAGTTCAGCTGGCCCCTTGCTCCCGGACCTCTTCCTACTCAGGTGATGCACGCTTGGCTCTATGTCTAGTTACTAGACTGTTGAGATTACATACAGGTGATGCAGGACGAGCCATGGACGGTTAGTTTAGAGCCTCCGTCGGAGGCCGAGGTCCGAAACGCGATCACAGCCCTCAATCGTTTTCGTGCCGCTGGCCCGGATTCCCTCCCAACTGCACTATTTAAGGATGGAGGTGAGGTCCTCTGCAAAGCACTGACCTCCCTATTCGAACGTATCTGGAACGAAAAGAGTGTGCCGGCTAATTGGAGCGAATCGATTATAGTGGCAATATACAAGAAGGGCAGTCGCACAGACTGTGCGAACCACAGGGGTATTAGCCTAACGCCAGTTGTGACAAAATTACTGGCCTCGATTATCGTTCGTCGCCTCACTGCAGAACGGGAATCTCGGATTAGAGAAGAGCAGGCCGGTTTCCGCCCAGGACGTGGCCGCATAGACCATATATTTACTCTGCGGCAGGTGCTAGAGCAGCGCCACGCATACCGCAGACTGACAATAGCTGTGTTCCTCGATTTCAAGAGTGCTTTCGATTAAGTCGATCGATCGATTCTGTTCGAAATACTTGCGCGGAAAGGTGCTCCCACGAAATATGTGAACATCCTTCGTGC